AGTTGCATGTAGTCTTAGTATTATTGTAATATAGTTATATCATTATTATTGTTATTAATAATAACCATAATTATTAATATTTAACTATTTACTATGACTGTAAAACATATTTTTTATGTTTATTTTAAAGAGGTCTTTAAAGGTTTGATCGGTCTGTGCCAGGAAGGTAATTTTCAAGGCAAAAAACATATTGACTCACTCGTCCAGGAACTCCAGCACCAGTGCAGTCCAAACCCTGTGAGATAAAACAATATTTTTTAAACAATTTATGGAACAATACCCCATAGTAACGTACATCAACATCCCTGACAATCTGTATATAAAGCAACAGCCTTGCTTTTAAATGCTATGTATCAGTCCTCTTACACCCCTCCAACCTCCCATCCTGAATAACCTTAATATTGTCTTGATGCAGGGTTATTCATTAATGTTATTAATATATTAAGAGATGATGCCAGTAATAATGAAACTTTTGAGTAGTTGGCCAAGCTGGATCATTGGCACAGAAGCTAGCTCCTAATGAGGCATTTGTATAATATGCCAAAATAAACAGTGCTGCAGTCATTTATTCCCAGCAAGCCTGGACAGAGAGTGGGATTTAGCACACAAACACACTCGTTCGTTATGATTCAATGTTTGACATTTCTTACCCGGTTGCCCTTCTCTCCTTTGAGGCCTGACTGACCCGCATAGCCTTCCTGAATAACCTGCAATACAATAAAAAAAAATCAATGTACTGCATGTTTGTAACATAATGTCATATGAAGCCCCTGTTGAAAAGACCAGCTTGGATTAAGCTGTTAAGCAAAAAAAACAAAAAAAAAACAAATACAACGAGTGTGTTTACTGTGCCAAGATTTCAATTTTGTACATGCAAATATGGAAAAGAGCATGTGAGGTGGTCAATCTTTGAAACTGTGCAAAAATATCTGACACTGCACAAAAACCTTAAATCTGGGCATTTTTCTGCCGAGGGAAATGCATTAAGAACACTAGACGGTGCATGTGGGTTTGCAAGTGCATTGGTAGCTGCTTCTCATAATGTTCTTATAAAACTTCCTCCAAGGCAGCCGCAAGCCTGGCCAACCTTTAAACATTCATACTTAACAAGTATCATGAAACTTTGCCAGATTTTTCAAAGACATAAATGCATCTCTTTCCAAGGGCGTGATAGCGCAGCACTCATGCACACTCATGCATGCAAATTCTGCTGCCTACCTACATAGCCATTATACATGCTGCACACATGACGAACTGAACATTAATACCCACACTTGATTCCTCACTGAGCAGTACACATCCTGCACACTGGAAAAAAGAGAAAACCAGGTTGTTCCTATCCATGACAATGTCTTTTTCTAAGGTTTTGAAATATTATCTCGCTCCACTCTACTTTAAACCAGATTTGCGTTTGATATTGTTACAGATGTTGGCCTGCGGGTGGCAGTGCAACATAACGTTAATCGGCATGGGAGTGCAGAATCGGGGGTGCACTACTGCGTGTCATTTCAGCTTGCCGCGGTTCTCTCACGAGAGACAAAGATCAATAGGAACATAAGGTTCCTCACGGCAATGTTCACCAACGCCTGCTGCAAAGCTATAAGGGAGGGGGGGACACGCAAAGTCAAATACTTATAAATAGCTATAGTTTCTAGCGGAAGAGCACAATTAAAACAAAATCTACCACACGTCCAGTCCTGCTCAGCCAACAGGCAGTTAACGTGCATTGATGTGGTGAGGTAAGAGCGAAGGAGAGGAAGGGGCCCGTCTCTGTGCCGCAGCTCTGAGAACGGTTGGCTGACGCACTGAGCTGATTCATTTTTTTTTCCAGAGGTGCACACAGAAGAAAGCTACATGAAGAAAATCAACTCTTTGAGATTTTCCCGCACTCCCTCTGTTCGCATGAATGAATGGATTTACATGCAAGTCTATATTCTACTGTTAGAGATGATATCGCGTTAAGAGAGTCTGTGTGTCTGACCGATTGTGCACTCAATGCTGTAGAGAGGTATATTCTGGGTTCAATATAATATACACTCAAACAACAGCATTTGTGGCATGATATCGATTATCAGCAAATTTATTTTCAACTTGCACTTCTTTTCTTTAAAAAAGCAAAAATCTAGGCTACAGTGAGGCATTTACAATATGGTGAATAGGGCCGATCCATAATCATTAAAATACTCAGTTTTAAAAGTCGTAAAGAATATGCATGTTAACATTAAACTTGTGTGAAGAAAAAAAAAATCACTTTTCTATGCATCACGTTTTCTATGCAATTACATCCAATTTTATAACATATTTGCAATGACAATATAGGCCTACTGTAACACCTAAAACTCTAAAATGGCTGTAAAAAGATGCTTAAATCCTTAAATCCAATGTAACCTCAATTTGTGCTTTTTTGTTTCAAGAAAAGGGAGGAAGATCAGCTTTTGAAAGATTCCGCAAACATGTTCGCATGACAAAAAGAACACCTCTGGTGTTGTGGACTTCATAGATGCATAGGCCCCAAATCCAAAACAGTGATAATTATATTCAGGGGCAGAGCCAGAGGTGACCGTGGCTACCACTGACGTAAGCTTGGCCACCCCTTTGGCCACCCCACTCAAAACTGCAGTTTTTGTCCCTTTCTTTGACAAGAAATGCATTTATTAAGACGCGGAGCCACTGTATCTCTTTATGACCACATCAAACGTAGATACGCGCTTCAACTTCGCCTCAGCACCAGGCGCAAGTCAAACGAGCGCGGAAATTAAGGAACATGTGCCAAATGAGCTTCAGTAGAACAACAGTGAACTGCGATCTGATGAGACGTCGTAGGCTATATGTCAGTAAAACAAACTTTCCTGTCCTGACAGCTGTTTTACCGTGCTCATGGCGCACACTCTTCAACTTTACGCGAATAAAAGGCGCACGCTCTATTGCTTCATCATAAATAATGCATGCAAGAAACTACAAACAAACAATGTAGTTCTGTCATCAAAGTCATGAAATTACCAAAAAGGCGATTAGTGCAGTCATTTATGTATAGCATCACATTAAATAACGTCTCTCAAATGCATGTACTAAAATATTGTGCAATTCGAGATCCCAATATACAGTGGTGTGAAAAAGTGTTGGCCCCCTTCCTGATTTCTTATTTTTTTGCATGTTTGTCACACTTTAATGTTTCAGATCATCAAACAAATTTAAATATTAGTAAAAGATAACACAAGTGAACACAACATGCTTTTAAATTTTTTTAAATGAAGGTTTTTATAAATCAGGAAGGGGGCCAACATTTTTTCACACCACTGTACAATAGGCCTATATGCCTACACAATAAGGCACAAGCTGTATGTTTTTTTTTTTTATTTCATGCACAAGTAAATATGAACACAGTGCACTTATACTAGAAAACATGCGCTATTTTTATTTTTTTAATTTTGTAAAGTACAAACGAAAATTAAACCATTTAAATGCATAAAATAACTAATTTTATATTCTAGCATTTATGTTCTGTTGACTTCAGTCCTTTTTTATTTATTTATTTATATATTTTTTTATTAACCAATTCTTATCACTATCTGCATGTCTCATCAATGAGTATGCAATGATGGAGAACAAGCTTTTGGGGGTTTTCAGAACCAGAACCAAGCTGACTAAGCAATAAAGCTATAGTGAGCCCCTTTATTAAAATACCTGGAGGTGGGGAATAATACACAAATTGTCATATTCACTCAGCATTACTTGATCTAATTCACAAATATCTCAAATACAATTTAGTAGAAATTATTCAGTTGTGTTTTAGGCACTAAAACAGTCCAATACTTTATAGTCAATCACATTTTTATATTGAAATAATATAAAAGATAAAAATAAAAAATAATAATAAATATAGTGCCACCCCAGACTGGTTGCTGGCCCCTCCCTGGTCACCCCTATAAAAACACCCTGGCTCCGCCACTGATTATACTATAAAGTATTTATCAATATTTTAATATGTTTTTATATTTTCAACTTTAATTTGAATTTAAGTTTACTAATTTTCTTATGTGCTTGACATTTTTATTATTTTTTTTTATTATTATTATTATTATTTCTTCATAACTTTTTTATAGTAATTTCAGTGCTTTTAGAATTTTTAAAGCTTTATTTATTTATAAATTTCGTGTTAGTTTTTGTGTGTGTTTTCATCTAATGTTCATATTTTATTTCAGCTTTATTTACATTACTGAAAATTATATTTAATAGTTTAGTTTTAGTTAACAATAACAACACTGGTCCACAACAATTTGAGACAAGGCCGTTGACCCATTGTTTAGCTCTGTGAATCGAATCAAAACCAAAAAAGTCCCACTCGCATCCTACTCAAATACTGACATTTTCTGCCCTTGCATTTTATTTGAAAGAAGGTAATACCTTTTTTCTATGAGTCATAACAATGAGCTGAGTGGGTGCAGAGAGGGGTAAAGGTGACAAACAGACAAGTGTTTTATGTACGAAACATGGGCGTTATTCTCGTATTGTGCCAGAGAAGCACATTTACCAAGCAAAAGCAAATCCCTCTAATTCCAGGTGGTGTAATATTACACAATATGCTCTGCTATCAGTAGTAAATTATCTCATGAGTTTGTCAGGGTCAGTTTCAATGTTCTTCCCACTGCAACGCAGCAATTTACTTACCAATTAACCTGAATCTCTATAGCCATTGGGTGAAATCTGCTGGGGCCACAATTCTTTTTGTCAGGTTTGAAGCCTTATAATTGGGACTGTCTGTTGCTGTTTATGGCAAATAGAAATAAGTGATTTATGTTGAATGACTTAATTCAAATGACTTACTTTTTCTGCCAGTTCCTTGGATCCGAAAATTGCCTGTAGAACATAAAAACAAAGAAATTGACAAAGAATGTCAGATAAAAAAAAAAAAAACGATGACAGTCCTCATAATCAATATATACACTTTCATGTTACAAACTTTAAAATGCAGTGAATCCAAAGTAGATACAGCTCTATTAACCGTAGTTATCTTACTGCAGCTGTGGTTTTAAGCAAACATGAAGCGAGATCACATAAACACAATTTGTTTAGGGGGGAATGAGATGAAAGAAGAGCTGAAGCCCCCTAAATAGGGTCTAACAATGCCTATGTACATAATATGCCATCTCTCACTTTTCATGCTTACCTAACAAAGTTCTGCTGACCTGAAGTTGGCACGTTCACAAGTGTTTGTTTTATCTAGATTTGTTTGTATTGTCATTTTACCGTTACAGAAGAATGTCAGATTAAAAAAAAAAAAACGATGACAGTCCTCATAATCAATATATACACTTTCATGTTACAAACTTTAAAATGCAATGAATCCAAAGTAGATACAGCTCTATTAACCGTAGTTATCTTACTGCAGCTGTGGTTTTAAGCAAACATGAAGCGAGATCACATAAACACAATTTGTTTAGGGGGGAATGAGATGAAAGAAGAGCTGAAGCCCCCTAAATAGGGTCTAACAATGCCTATGTACATAATATGCCATCTCTCACTTTTCATGCTTACCTAACAAAGTTCTGCTGACCTGAAGTTGGCACGTTCACAAGTGTTTGTTTTATCTAGATTTGTTTGTATTGTCATTTTACCGTTACAGAGTTTCATCCGTATGATCAACAGAGAATATGAAACTCTTTTGATGGAGAGCAAATGGGGAGGAGAACTGGCAGGAATGGAGAGGGGGAAGTGCAGTGAGGAGGGACATGATTTAAAGAGAACATCAGGGACAGGCAGAAAAACAAAAGATGTGTTTGTGGAGCAGATGTGAAAGTAAATCCTCGAGTCATGTCCGAGCAGAGAAAGCAAACACAGCATCGGTAAGGCTAATCAGACTGGATAGGCATGAAAAAGGAAAGTGCTCGGTTACCTAATCTCCGGCCGTACCCTGAGATCCAGTTTAGAAATTGCTGAGAGCGCATGCACGCATGCACACATGCACAAACGCTAAAAACAGTGTTCCACAGAGAACACAAAATGGACATGTTGTCCATACAGCTACAGTCTAGCACAGGATGGAAGAGAATTGTGATGACCTGTTCAAAAAACCCTGGTGGAATGAGCGCATGAATAATGCAGGGAACTTTGTTTAGCTGCAACCGTGCGGCTCTCAGCTCATGAATTTCTCCCTGCCGGTGAGCTCAACAGAAAAAGAATGTGATGACAGAAGAATGCTGTGCTTTTAAGGAACTTTAATGCGGGGCGGATTGAGGATCTGTATAGGAGGAAGGGGTTAATGCAGAAGTAGGCTAATGCTAGCAGCATCCAACACAGTCTGGAACTCATTACAATTTGTCTTAAAACACAGACTGCTATGGTACTAGACAGTAACCTGGGCCAAAGGAAAACATGGGAGCATGTGTGATTTTTTTTGGCCTGTCTGCGCATGTGTACCTCTAACAGATAAATAAAGGAAAGGGCTGGAAGTATGCTGTGCTGAGCTTGAGCTTACAGCTGTGGTGCTGTCTGGTAAAGACTGTATATGGAAGAATTCCACAAATTAACAAACACGCACAAAATTACCATCATTTGTACATGATCTCATGTACATGTCGGCAAAACATGGCAGTTTCTTTAAAATGCAACCACAAATATATTGAAGATATACACTATTTATTTTACTATATATAAAATATTAATGTGTTTAATTAAGTGGATTAACTTTTGGAAAGATATATAAAAAGCATGCACTGGAAATTTTAAGTCGTATTTTTGTCCTTTTTTCAATGAATAAATGCATTTTCTTAAAATATAGTAAGTAAATTAAATGAAATATTTAGATACATTTTTTGAGCAGAAAAAGAAGTGTAAGACAGTAAGATATTATAAAGAGACTTTTCACAGAATAAGTTCATTTTTCTTACCCCATTTGATTAAAAAAAATAAAAAATAAATACAATTATATCTTACTGTATGTAAGTTTGCTTCTCAAGCAAATTTCTCTCATAGTAAATATGTTTTCTTGAAAGTAAGATGATAATTATTCTTAGAGTGTATACATTGTGCAATGCTGTCTAAATTCAGACAATTGCTCAATTTGGCTGGCATGGTCAAACATTAATTTGTTAGAGCTCCTAACATTTTATCAGAGGGATAAAATTAGTAAATACTGAGACAGGAAGTGGCACAAAAGCACACAAAGTGATACTTCCAATGGAGCTAATTCCTCTGTCAGTATAGCAGCAACGATTAAAAGAGCATTTACACCACAAAACCATTTTATATCATTTCCACCTCAAATCTCCTACTGTTCTCGTGAGAGAACGGAGAGTGATTAGTGTTGAGACGTTTATCCACCCAAAGCGTGAGCTGAGGAGACACTTCATGTTGGTGTACGTGTGACTACGTGTAGACGTAACAAACTGCTTTGAGTGTGTTTGGCTCCAATACAGAGCCCTCTGGATGTAATTATGTCACGTGTGAGTGTATAAGAACAATCCACGTGGCAAGCGGGGAAGATATGTGACCAGTTGGAGACCAGCTGAAGTACCTTCACCAACCAGCTTTTTTTTGGGGGAAGTCGTGGCCTAATGGTTAGAGAGTCAGACTCATAACCCAAAGGTTGTGGGTTCGAGTCTCGTACCGGCAGGGATTGTAGGTGGGGGGAGTGAATGTACAGCGCTCTCTCCCACCTTCAATACCACGACTGAGGTGCCCTTGAGCAAGGCACCGAACCCCCAACTGCTCCTCGGGCACCGCAGCATAAATATCTGCCCACTGCTCCGGGTGTGTGTTCACGGTTTGTGTGTGTTCACTGCTGTGTGTGTGCACTTTGGATGGGTAAATGCAGAGCACTAATTCCGAGTATGGGTCACCATACTTGGCCACATGTCATGTCACTTTCACTTTCACTTTTTTTTTGTCACTTTCACTTTTATTAGCCCTGCTAATGATCATGACTCACTGCTGCCAGGAGAAACAACAAGAGCAGCCCACACCAACATCACAAATCCTCTTTTCCACAGAGGCCAAGTTACTCCCCCCATATTCACAGCTTGCGTTAGCAGTGAAAATAGCATCCAAATATCTGGTTTAAGTGGAAGTCATTGTTATCTGGAAAAGACTTAAGGTTATTCTTGGAGCAGACTGAGACACAGAAACGCAGAAAGATGTGATTTTTCAGCAGTCAAATTGTGTTTACTCATAGCTGCTGATGTAAACTTTAGCTCTACTCCTTGCAACTTTGATAGAGTTTTGTTTATAGTGTATGCTTGGCTAGCGGTAGGATTGTTTTAAAGGGATAGTTCACCCAAAAATGAAAACTCTTATCATTTACTCTGCCCTGTGTTACTCCAAACCTGTATGCTTGTTCTTTTTCCATGAAACACATAGGAGGTATTTAGCCAAATGCCAAAAAGTGCAGTGAGAAGTTTATTAACTGTAGCTGAGGGCCAACATTCAGAAGACATTCAAAATTACCACTAATAACAGGAGAGAAAAAGAGAGAGAGAGCATAAAGGACAACATGTAGATGCAAGAGCAAATATGTGTAGACAAGAAGCGAAAGAGCAAGTATGAAAAATAAAAGAGCTGCGGAAGCAGAGAACGTTTGATTTCAGCATTTCTACAGCCCACTGGGCATTGTTCACAAGAATTTACATTAATTTCCAGTTTCTACACACACCAACATCACAAATCCTCTTTTCCACAGAGGACAAGTTATCCCCCCATATGCACAGCTTAGCACTGAGAAACTGCTGATGAATTGTGTTTTCAGGGGAAAATAGCAAATACCGGGTTTAAGTGGAAGTCATTGTTATCTGGAAAAGACTTAAGGTTATTCTTGGAGCAGACTGAGACACAGAAACGCAGAAAGATGTGATTTTTCAGCAGTCAAATTGTGTTTACTCATAGCTGCTGATGTAAACTTTAGCTCTACTCCTTGCAACTTTGATAGAGTTTTGTTTATAGTGTATGCTTGGCTAGCAGTAGGATTGTTTTAAAGGGATAGTTCACCCAAAAATGAAAACTCTTATCATTTACTCTGCCCTGTGTTACTCCAAACCTGTATGCTTGTTCTTTTTCCATGAAACACATAGGAGGTATTTAGCCAAATGCCTGATTTTCTCTTTTTTCCATAAAATTAAGGTTGATAATAACAGCCTGCTGTCAACTTTGTGAAATAAATGTTAAATTTATAATATAATATAATATAATATAATATAATATAATATAATATAATATAATATAAAGAGCTGCGGAAGCAGAGAACGTTTGATTTCAGCATTTCTACAGCCCACTGGGCATTGTTCACAAGAATTTACATTAATTTCCAGTTTCTACAGAAGAGCTCATTCAACTGCCTGCTAGTGGGATGCTTAATGGCCACTAACTGTGTTATTTTATGTTGAATTTATCAGGATGAGAAATATTTATCAGCCTACATTACATCTTCAGCTCATCTTGTCATCTATTTATGTGCTGTAACACTGCTGGGATGCACCATTCAAGTGTTTTAACAGCGGAAAAGTATGAAAAACTCAACTGGGTGCTGCACATTAATATCAGTAGTATATTCACCTAAAGAGCCTGGCAATCCTATTTTAGGAAGATTACTTCTTTGGGCTTTCAGAGGCATGCACACAAGATTTGTTTGGTTCACACCATTTTTAATTATTGGCTAATGTGCACAAATGCATTTGATGCATGTATTTCGTTATTGTATATCTATGTTGCATTTTAAAATAGCGTGTTGAATAAAAATATACAGCTCATTTAAAAAAGCATCTTGAGGCCTCTTCAATGTGTTCCATTCCATTGCATTCTTGCTGCTTTTGAACGCATGGATGCATGATGCATCCTCAGTCTACGCCCCCTTATTAGCTCCCACTGAGAGCAAGTACGTGTGTGTCTTCAAACACTTCAAAGCATCTCAAGATCAGGATCCCACATTCAATAACTAAGCACCCCTCTCTTAATTTCTGTAAGATCTTTTCATTAGAGGCCCTTGAACAGTTTCAGTGGCTCATTTTTAAGTGCAGTATCAAGGGTTGTTTTTGCAAATGAATGAGTTCATGCACTGCACGACAACATTTCTACAGATTAATTGCAAAAGACTGAGAATTTGTAATAGTCAGATTAATTTACCTGAGTGAAGGGATTGGGCACAAACTCCACCTGGTTCTCTGCGGCTCTTCGACTCTTGGGAGCATCCGGTGGGCACTATGGAAGCACAAAGAACACAGGTCAATCTGATTTGAACTAAAATTAAACTATTATAAAAACATGTCAGTAACTGAAATAAACTGAAGTATAATATAAGTATTGGATGAAAATTTTAAACTTAAAAAACCGTTAGAAATTAGAAAATTCAGTTAGTTGCCTAAAATTGCAAAAAAAAAAAACACAATTGCTAAAACTTAAAGAAAAATTACAATGAAAACTAAAAATATACAAATAAAAGCTAATATGAATAAATACCATAATAGTATATAAATAATACTAAAACAACACTGGATTTGATTTAAATAAAAAAAAAATCCTTCTCAAGCACACTCCCTAGTATTGATACAAATGTGGTCTTTCAAGGCATTTTATGATGCAAGACATCTTTTCCTCTGCATCTCAAGATGTAATCACTGACTCCTCTGCTTTTAAAAGCCACATAAGAGCACATGCATTCAAGGGGGAAATAGTTGCCCTTGTTTCCATTTTGAACACTGCTCGCAGGGAGCTTTGAGCATTCGCCCCAAAACAAAAGAACACAAAGAGCTCTGTTGGCTTACATTCAAACTCAAACACACACACACACACACACACACACACATACACACACACCCACACATAATAACCTGATGTTTTAGTCACATGATTTTGTTATCCATACCTTACCTCATAAAGAGGCAACTAAAATGTAAGGGGAATAATAATCTTTTCAGACTAAATATGGTCCATCTGGCACGTAAATAATGATGTCTAATAGTTCTTGGCTGTGAAATATCCTCTGATCCAAAATTGCATCAAATTTGAAATGCCAGCTCAGAGTTGGCTGTACCTATTCCCATGTGCACTTCCATTGTCAAAGAAGTTTATCAGGTGACATTTCCTGATCTCTACCTTCTTTACTATTGCAGGCTGTGGGTGGCTCTATGTTTTTCATACAGGCTGAAGTTATCTGCAAGTGATGCATTCCTGTGAGCCTTTTCGATTCAGCAAGCCTTGCCAAAGCTCTGATCAATTCAGAGAGGAGAAACACACCAAATTCCAAATCCTCAAATAAAGCAGCACTCCCACATCGATGACTCAAGCGCTGTTCCTCCACCACAGCCGCCCCGATGGAAGTTGAGTCGCTGCTCAGGCTTTATCCATCAAGTACAACTACAACAATTATTTTTTTGACAGAAAGAACGCATCCATTCCCTCAGCAAAACATGAGTTTTGCCTCCACTTTGATCACTGAAAACATGTGCGAATGTTTCATCAGCTTGGATGAAATATTACTTGACAATACTGGGAAAAACACACACCATTTAAACAATTGTTCTACCTATGCTTGGACTGTGGTAGGTTCAAACCATTAAGATAAAACGATATAGTGTAATTTACCTGCATGGCATCATAACACTGTTAACTGGCTCACTGTTAAACATATTTTAGTTAACTTTTCTAGTTTTTGTTTAACATTTATATTTTTATTTTATTTCAGCATTATTTGCTTTATTTCAATTACCAAAACCTTTTTTTTTATTGTCTTTTTAGGTGAACTATTTCTTAAATTGTCTGATTAAATAACAACTCTAAGGTTCAGTTGTTTTTTTTTTTTTTGAGGTTGACGAAGACATGCAAGCAAACATTAATATTGAGCCTTGCCATAACCTTAGGCTACAAATGAAATACATTGACAGACTGATTTATCAGAATGTTGATCATGTCAAAATGGCCAATAACTGGACATCAAATGACAGAAGTGAATTGATTTCCTTTTCCTTTTGTTCCAGTGCAAAATATAACATTTTCTACTTTTTGTTAACATCATCTACTTTTTGTTGATTTTCAGTAAAAACTGTCCAAATAAGCATTGTTTTTGTTGTGTAGATCTCATTTTAAACTTTAAACTGCCACCCTGCTCTCTATACAATGCCATAAAAAGCCATTTAACAGCCTTTAGCAGCCGAATACTAATAGAAATTAATTCACTAGACGAAACATGTTTGAAATTTTGCATAATACCATGAATAAAAGCATTTTATGGTGTTTTTAACAGTTCAGACGTTATTACCCGAGCTCCAGGTATCTCACAGCAGGCCTCCTGGATAGCCAGAGAGGGGTCACAATACACCATCACTTGCTGGACATCAATCTGAAAAAAGATGAAGAGAGAAAGCATATTAAAAGCAGAGCAAGAACAAAGAAAATGAGCTTTTTAAATGCTGGACCCCCACTGCTTTACATATGATCACTTGCATGATCATTTCGCTAAGTGGTTGGATTAACGAACTAATTAATTATTAATGGATGAAGCTCGGTTAGGCTAGCATGGGCTGTTCTTTTCATCTTTTTCGAGCTGAGAGAGCTCAGTAGCATTAGACCTGACGAGAAGCGCCTGTAGTCTTCCAGTCTTTCACACATTCACAGACACACCCCTGCCACATTTCCCCGGCAGACAGGATGCCTAGGGCAAAACCTGCGGGAAGCCGGCTTATAGGAAACATCTACTTCCGACTACTCTATTAGCAGTGTTGTGCTCAATTATCTGAGGAGCCGGAAGCTTCTGCAGTCGTACATCTAATTGACATTCTTATACGGCAAGCCTCTTCCTCTGTGAAAGGTTCACAATATGTTCTCAATCACTCACCTCCACAGGAGCAGCATCAGTAGCCCTCATACCCAACAGCGTGTGTCCATTGATGGGTAACTGGCCACGGAGCTCCAGGGGCTTGTTCTCAATGGAGCTGCAGTCCACGTGCAGGGAGGCCGCATCTCTCTGCAGACTCAGAGCCAACTTATGCCAGCGCATGTCCTTCAGGGATTCCACACCGTCACCTTCGAACACACACCCCACCATGGACCCTTCAGGGTCGGCCCCTCTCGCCCGCAGGGCCAGGTTGCCATCTGGACCATTCCAGTCCAGTGAGAACTAAAGCAGTGTGATAAATCAGGAAAAAGAAAGTTTTATTTAGACAATGTGATTATACTGAAGCTGCAGTACAGGGTCCAAAAGTAGCATGTTGCCATACCTGTTGGCCATAAATATTTATATATATATATATATCAGCCATGTTTTTGTATTATTTCATAACAATAAATTATTTATCTGTTTATCCCGGCAAAAGTGCACATAATCTTTTCAGATAAAGATGCTTGTCTTAAGACATATCTTTTTGAATTTTCACATTTAAATTTTTTTTATTTAACTATTTCTTTAACTTGCTTTATTTATGTACCAAAGCCATATTTCTCACATAATTCTCACATAGTGTTAGTATCGGTGTAGCATAATCAAGAACTAGCTTTAAAATGAAACATGTTTAACTAAGTATACAAGAGCTCTATCACATAAACCTAAAGTATAATTAAGTCAGAAATGCAAAGCTCACATACAGTATAAAACATAAGCAGCATGGCTAGTTAACAAAGTAACTATGATAAATAATTCTAAAACAAGTATTAATCTTAGTTATTTTTTTAAGTTCAACATTTGCTAATACATTATTAAAATCTAAAGTATCTGTTAACATTATTTGATGGACCTGAGCTGACTTGAACTAACCACGAACAACTGTATTTTTTATTAAAGATTAATAAATACTGTAACAAATTAATTGCTTATACGTTAATTTTAGTGAATGTATTAACTAATGTTAAGCAAAGTGACCTTACTGTAAAGTGTTACCAGTGAATTATGGTTTTGAACGAATCAACTGAATGTGAATGACCCACTCACATGATTTTTGTACCTGAATGAATCAGTGTTTTGAACAAATTGATTGAATTAATGATTCAATGACTCCTTCATGTTTCAGTCCTGAATAATCATGTTTGATGTGTTGTGGGTAAGTGTACTACCATCAACACCACTCAGTCTGACACAATATTACAATATTTAAAAAAATGACCAGCAATTAATATTTTATGATTTAGCATGCAGCTCTATAATTAGCAGTTCCTTAAGGCACAGATCTATGGACTTGAGGGGAAAGTGGACAGACACACACCTGAGGATAGCCATGTTCATCAGATATCTGGAACAGGTAAATGTTTTCTTTCAAAGATTTCTTCTTCAGCAGCAAGGTGAAGACCAGGGTGAACTCCTCTGGCAGTCCATGAGGAAACACTTGACTGAGGAGACAAGCATGCGGTTAGACTGCAGTACACGTACAAACAAATAAACATGGAGCAGGTGGGTTGTAATAGTAAAGAAACAGTCTGAATGCTAGCAGAAGTGGGAGTATCTCTGTAATAATGGTGCTGTGGATACAGACATAGGGATAACCCCCTGACACTAATTTTGAAAAGAATTACAGCTCAGCAAACCTCATCTTCATTCTCAACTTCTATCTCTCACTAGATAAACAGTTTGCCTGCCTCTTGGTGGGTCAAGGGCAGGCAAACTCCAGGAATGTGTTTACCATCCCAAATACACACACACACACATACTGCAGACTCAGTACTGGAGTTTATTCACACACAAGTCATGGAACAACGGGAGGCTGATCAAAAGCACATAAACATGCATACATAACACGCACAACAATGAGCAGGTAGCGTGTTTGTCTCTAAACAAGATGACAATGATTTATAACAGAGACCTGGAATCCAAAGTAATAACAGTGAGGCTGTCCTCCTCAAGGAAAAAAAATTAAATCAGGACTAAACACGAGAGAGAGAGAGAGAGAGAGAGAGAGAGAGAGAGAGAGAGAGAGAAAGAGAGAGAGAAAGAGAGAGAGGATGAAACTTGCACTTTTGCACAGGATGAAACTTGTTATGACAGGAAATGAGTTGCATATCCCTTTCGAAGATTTCTTGTTGATATTGCTCAACAAAACTACTCCACTGAAAGGGCCATCATAAATCAAATATTAATGATTTTTTATTTCATTATTAGAGTTCAATTTGGCAGGTCTACTGAGAATAGAGGTGCATGATTGATATATCGGTGGCAAGTAACTAGGAAAGTTCAATTATTATTATCAATTGAATTAATGGAATTACAGCCAATATGTTTAGCCAATACTTTATTGTGGCATTCTTTTCATATGATTTTTTACAATATGTGTGACCTAAACTACCTCATGTGCATGGTGTACTGTAAATGCATTACACCATGCACTACACACTATAAAATTGCAGTGTTTTTAGCCAAGTTAGTGTGTCACGTTGCTCTGTGATGATTATCTTGAGAATTACACTTTAATTGGTATCATCTGCTAAAAGTGACAAAATCCCATTTTTTTATTTTGTTAATATTTATTTAAAATAGCTATTTTAAAATATTATATATTTTTAAATAGCTTTAACTCTTTTGAAATGTATTGTGTTTAAATCAATGTCACTTTTAAATCAATGGACCAATCAGGATCTAAGAAATAAGCATATTTTCATACAGACAAGCCTTGTGTTTATATTAGCAATAATGTATAGGAGCTAATACTCCACTACTGTCAAGTGGATTTTAATGGACAAACGGCTCTTCTTTTTTTTTTTTTTTTTTTTAAAAAATGTTTTTTTTTTTTTTTTTTTTTTTTTTTTCTTTTTTTTTTTTTTTTGAATGGCTT